GTGCCAGTACTTTTCTCACTACACTCATTACACTGATACCACACCAACCCCTGCATTCCGTGTGCCAGTACTTTCCTCACTACACTCATTACACTGATACCACACCAACCCCTGCATGCCGTGTGCCAGTACTTTTCTCACTACACTCATTACACTGATACCACACCAACCCCTGCATTCCATGTGCCAGTACTTTCCTCACTGCACTCATTACACTGATACCACACCAACCCCTGCATTCCGTGTGCCAGTACTTTTCTCACTACACTCATTACACTGATACCACACCAACCCCTGCATTCCGTGTGCCAGTACTTTCCTCACTACACTCATTACACTGATACCACACCAACCCCTGCATTCCGTGTGCCAGTACTTTCCTCACTACACTCATTACACTGATACCACACCAACCCCTGCATTCCGTGTGTCAGCACTTTCCTCACTGCACTCATTACACTGATACCACACCAACCCCTGCATTCCGTGTGCCAGTACTTTCCTCACTACACTCATTACACTGATACCACACCAACCCCTGCATTCCGTGTGCCAGCACTTTCCTCACTGCACTCATTACACTGATACCACACCAACCCCTGCATTCCGTGTGCCAGCACTTTCCTTGCTACACTCATTACACTGATACCACACCAACCCCTGCATTCCGTGTACCAGTACGAGGTGATTAGCAAAAAAATTACACGTTTGTAAACTCGCCCTGCATTCATAGCCAATGCCCTTTTTCATGATTTATAGTAGTTTACATGGCAGAATAGTCTATGACTCATATCGTGCCATCACAGTTCAACTTCCCCAACAGCAGTGTAGACTTTCCTAGCTGACCCAAAGTAGGTCGTTTTTTCAGTCCTCAAAATACTTGTATATTTTTTTACATGTGTGTAAACCACAGGTAACATACCATAACAAGGCTATATGGAAACCTACCCACCCATATATAGGTACCCCACTGCACAAATAACACAAATAGTGTCCAAACAGAACACAAATCCGTGCACTTTTCAAGTGCAAACTTGAAAACTGACTGACACACCACACTCACAGCAGGAGCAAAATCACCGTCTCGCCATTAAACTTGAAAATAAAGAATGCCAACCTGGTGCCAGGACAAAAAGTAATCATCTGACATCAGGCAAGCAACATCCAAGCATCAGCACACTGTGATCACATACAGAATCACGGCAAAGCAGAAAGCCATAACAGAGGTGGACAAGTACTGGCACCATTGATCACACGCACTCAACGGAGAGGAGCACTATTAAAGGACGCTGTGCTCACTGATATTGCAGAGGCCTGCCGAACTGTGCATGTGAACGGAGGATTCGCAGCTGGGAGGGAAGCAGCGTACGGTGTATCCTCTGCGGCAAACGAGTCGAAAGATGGCCGAGAAGATGAAGCAGAAACAGGTCCGCTTGCAACTGTGCTGGCGGCAGTCAAGTGGCTGGTAGCAAGGCTAGCATCTCCAGCTGGGGCATCATAAAACAATGATGCCAACTCTTGGAGCTTGGTCTCAGATTCACTGGCATCGGATGCATTCAGCTTGACGCGCAGAGCCTCCAATAGAACAGCATTGGTCTCATTGCCTCGGATGTCCGGAGTCTGAGTCAACAACAGCAAAGCGGAGAGGTGCTTCTTGTGAAGTTTCTTGATGGCTGCATCAACACCAAGGCTTCGTGCTTCCCAAATAATTTTCGCAGCAGCTTTCGCATCACGCTGACGCTGCTGTGCAAGCTGCTTATCGCGGGCTGATTTCTTTTCTGCTCGTTCTTTGCGAAGGGTCTCTTGATCTTGCTTCCTCTTGAATCTCTCTTCCAATTTCGCACGACCTGCACCATATGTTAAGGAACCGAGCATGAAGTCCTCTCCACCTAAACGCATGGTATCAAAGTCGATAGGTGCATCTGAATCGCCCGAGTCATTCAAATCAGATTCATCATTGATAGCGGCAATACCTGCAGACGCAACGCTGGGAATGACAGGCGTGGAAATAATACCTGCCGTCGGCACGCTTGCAGCAGCAGCAGCAACAGCAGAAGAAATACCAGACTGCGTGGCAACATATGTAGCATCAGTGGCAGCAGCAACACATGACGTAGAAGGAACATTGGCATTGGTGCCTTGAAGCGTTGCGTTGGCTGCTGTTGAAGACAGACTGGAATTGCAAGTGCTCCCTCGCTGATGAAACCGCTGGCACCGTGCATCCAAAACAGCATCAGCAGAACCGACACCTTCAAGCCTTTTCGCAGCTGCTTCCTCTTTTGCCTTCAAGTTCCAGTACAGCTTGCGGTTGCAAGCCTTTGTCGCTCAGTCAAAGCCTATTTCCTTCCATCCCTTGCGGCTGACATCAGGATGGAAGGCTTGCTCCCATGGCACTTTCATGATTGTAGGCATATCATCTGATGACAATCTTGGTGGCTTTCCATCCATAACCTTGGTGATGACAAGGTCGCTCTTGGCCTGCTTAGCTTTCCTCTTAAAC